TGGTCTTCGAGTCTTTGATAGACCATAATTCTTCTTTTATTTCTTTCAAATCTTTAGAATTTTTTTATTCCATTTTTCTTGTCTCTGATAGATTCAAATTCTTGTGAAAGAGATTTTTCCATTTTCTTTAATTCTACTTAAAGTATTTTCGTTGATAGCCTCTGTTTCTAGAATCTTATCAACAATAATTATATCTTCACTATGGATTATGTTTTTATCCAATGTATTTAGTAAATACATGTTAATCCAATTTATTTGTTTGTTATTCATATTTATTTCAATAAATCAACTATTTGTCTTAATTTATTAATTCTTTGTTTTCTAAATCTAATTTGTCTATTATACAATACTACTATAGAGTTTATTCTTCCACTTTCTTGTCTCAACTCAACTAGGTGATTTTCTTTCATTTCTGCTAGGACTGTTTCTTCAGATTGAACTACTAGCTCAATTTGATGACAAATATTTAGTATTATTATTGTATTTGTGGCAATATCTCCCATAAAGACTTTTTTGGGGTTTAAGTGTTGTCTTATGTTTTACTTGAGGACTAATCCTGCAATTTTTCAATTTTATCTAACGCCACTTAACGGCTCTAGTTACTCTAGGGGCTGATTTGCCACTGATTTTTGAGTATAAGAGGTGTTTTGCCTCTGTTCTGAGTTAAAGGGCTTACATGCCACCATATTGCCGGTATAGGGGCTTCTTTGCACCTTATGCCATTGCCCTTTTTCCAAAGTTGAGAGATTTCTATGAATTTTTTTAGGGTAGAAGGATGACAACGACCTCTTGTGCAAAGTTGAGGGATTTTTAGGGGTATTAAGCCCATCCATTGAATTTTTTTTTTTTGAATTTCTTCCTAAATTAAGGATTTTGGAACAATTTAGTATGTGTTTACTTATATTACTCTTAAAAGATAATACTTCTTTTGTTCAAATTTTGTAGGCTTAATTTTTTTATCCAATAAAACAAGAATATAATAATTAATTAATTAAATTTTATATTTATCTGTAATTAATTACTAATTATTAAACATTCTTATTTAATAAATTGTTGTAATTATTTTCTAAAAATAAGGGTAAAATAAAAATAAAACCATCAAATTATATCCTAAATAAGAAAAATTGATAACTAAATTTGAATACCATAAATTAAAAATTTTACTAAATTTGAATGAAGGGAATAGATAGAAAATAGAGAGATTTTTTGTGATAAAATGAATATTTTAAAATAAAATGATAACCATAGAGTTAAAATAATACAAAATTTATATATGCCTTAAAAATTAAAAAATAACATTTAATTTAACACAATTTTAAAATAAAAAATAACATTTATTTGTTATTTTTTATTTTAAAATAAATAGAATACTTATTACTTAAAAAGTAGTTATATATTCTCATGAATCTCAACCCTTACTCGGAAAAGAGATGACAAAAATTAGGAAATGAATCCTTAACAAAAACGGGTCGACCCAAGGACATTGGATGATGCACAGATCAGCACAGGAAGTGAAGGACCAGAGGCAAGCAGGCCAATGATGAGGTCCGACTAGACTAGATATTGGGAGGTAGCTGTACTACTACATTATATCTTCATATATAACCATATGATATTCATCGCCATCAACCTCTAATGAATTGGAAATTGCTTAGTCCAGAATCCAGAATAGGTACTTTGGCTTAGATCTGCTCATTGCCAGGTTTTTTTGAGGGGCGTGGACGTGGTCGTCAACCCATCTCTTCGCCCGATCCCATTTTTTCCTATGAGGCACCATGGAGATATTTATTCTGGAGATAAATTGGATGACGCGCCGAGAGTTCGGCAGCTAATTAATTTGATCGATATTTCTCTATTTTGGACTCATAAGCTAAGGTTATTATTGAGGATGGTGTACCAGTTAGCAGGGCGTTGCGATGTGGGTTAAATTAAATTTTAATATTTTTAAAATTAAATTAATTTAATCTAAT